CTTCCCCGTCCTCTTCCTCCCCCTCTTCTCTTCCTCCCCTCCTCCTCCTCCTCCTCCTCCTCCTCCCCCAACCCCACTCCTTTATAGCACTGATGATGTTACCTAGTTTGGGGAATGAAACGTCTGCAAGAAAACCACCAAGCTCAGAGAGCAGTAAGGACCCCTCATGGTTCCTCACTTATGGGATCGTGAAGAATTACAGTGTTTGCCCTTTGGAAAGCCGACAAGAGATAAGTCTGGGCGATGATGCTGTGAGTCTACCTCCAGTGACGGGGCCACCCTTTCTCTCTCCTTGTCCCTCAGATCCTCTGCCTGATGCTGGAGTACAACATCATTGAGAACAAGGACACGCAGCTTCAGATCATCTCAACCCTGGAAAGCACTGATGTTGGGAAGAAAATGTACGAGCAGCTTTGTGACCGGCAGAGGGAACTCAAAGAGCTGGTGAGCTTGCTCGGATTTATAGTCCACCTTTCTACTTCAGAGGAGCAGGTGTTATCTCGTTTTCTTCATGGGATCCTCCAAGACTTGGCTTGACATGTGGTTCTGGCCTACAGACTTGTGTCTTGAGGTTCTCCCATCCGAGATTTGGCCAGGTGTGGTCCTGCTTAGCTTTTTCATGAGCCACCCAAATTAGCTAGATGCTGCCACCTGCTGGTTGGTCAGAAATTCCACACAATAAAAGAACAGAGACCAGAAGTTTGAGAGACGACTCTTTAAGCCAGCGGTTCTCAACCTATGGGTCGCGACCCCATTTGGGGTCGATCAACCATTTCATGGGGGTCGTCAAGCAAGGCTGTCCGTCATTTTTTCCCCCTTTTCCGGCGGGTGCCTTACCTCCCTTGGGCTGGGCCAGCTGGTGGTCGGCCTGCTCCGTCTCTGCCGCTTGCCAGCTACGCCTCGGCCGGCACAGGGGGCGGAACCACGCATGCGCGGCGCTCCCGGGCAGGGAAAGTCCTCGACTTACGACTGGTTGCGTAGTCCTCGACTTATGACCGGTTTAGTCCTCGACGTACGACCGGTTTAATCCTCGACTTACGACCGGTTGGGGTCGCGGCATTAAAAAGGTTAAGAACCACTGCTCTAAGCCATAGTTAGTTAGTTAGTTAGTTAGTTAGTCAGTCAGTCCATCCATCAGTCAGTCAGTTAGTTAGTTAGTTAGTTAGTTAGTTAGGGCAATTTAAAAATAAGAAAGCAGGAACAATGGGAATAGGGAAGGTATCATTCCAAACAGCAGGAAGCATCATGGAGAAGACATTTGATTGTAATCCATTGAAGAATGTATTTTTATTTTTGCTTATACTATTTAGAACTGAATTGGGGCAATATCAACAGAGGTCATTATGTTTATCGGGGGGGGGGAATGTCCAACCTTGGCAACTTTAAGACCTGGGGACTTCAACTCCCAGAATTCCCCAGCCAGCCTGGGAGTTGAAGTCCACAGGTCTTAAAGTTGTTGAGGTTGGACACTCCTATTGTAGAGAGAAGATGTGGACTTGAACTCTGGACTTTCTGCAGCCCCCAGCCTATGCTTTACTACTGTAGGTCCATGGTTGTCACATTTGTAAGCAATGAATCTGTTCTTTTGCAGCAGAGGAAAGGCGGGCCCACCAGGCTAACACTGCCATCAAAATCCACGGTGAGTTCTCCTTCTGAATCTCAGTGTGATCCTGAGCCTGCAGAACGCGTCAATGTCTTCCTACCCTGCTTCCTCAAAGTCCAGCATTTGCTTCCATGGAGTGTCACAGGGAATACCATTCCTTGGTATTGGCCATTATATGGAAGGAATGTACAGTATAATTTATAGAATTAGAGACTCCTCTGCCAATGAGGAGCACATATAGAGGGACGATCGAGAGCATCCTGTCCTACAGCATCACAAGTCTGGTTTGGAAGCATCCCTGCTTCGGACAAGAAGGCGGTGCAGAGAGTGGTGAGGACAGCAGAAAAGATCATTGGCAGTTCCCTCCCTTCCATCCAGGACATGGCACAGAAGCGTTGCTTGAGCAGGGTCCGCAAGATCATCTGGGACACTACACATCCTCTCCACGGCCTGTTTTCCTCATTACCTTCTTGGAGGAGGGGGCTTTGTGGTATCCGAAGCCGAACATCCAGATTCAGTCGCAGTTTTATTCCATATAGTATTAACCTTATAAACTCTCAAGCTTCCTCTTTCCGCTATGTATTTCAAGATGGACAGTGATTAATTTACTGGTGTTTATATGTAAGGATGTAGGTATATACATATGTATGTATATATCATGACTATGTGTGTCTTATGTACGTGTACACTTTGAGAGCAGGCAATAGAATTTCATTTTTAATGTATGCCAGTGTGCCCACAGTAAAAAATTACAATAAAGGTTATCTATCTATCTATCTATCTATCTATCTATCTATCTATCTATCTATCTATCTATCTATCATCTATCTATCTATCTATCTATCTATCTATCTATCTATCTATCTATCTATCTATCTATCTATCTATCTATCTATCTATCTATCTATCTTATCCATCCATCCATCCATCCATCCATCCATGTTTCTCTCTCTAAAAAAAAAGGGAGAGTTTCCTTGACTGATCTCTGCAATCTTCTACTTTTCAGGATGCGGACCTGGCTCGGCTCTTAAGCTCGGGGTCTTTTGGAAATTTGGAGAACCTCAGCCTGGCCTTTACCAACGTCACAAGTGCCTGTGCAGAGCAACTCATTAAACTACCTTCCCTCAAGCAGCTGAACCTGTGGTCAACTCAGGTATGAGCTGTGCAAGCAGGGAAGTTGGCGCTCACTCAAACCGTGAGGGCCCAGTGCATCACCACCACAGGAAGAGCTGCTTTCGTTCTGTGCAATCGATCCAGCCCTTTTAAGGAGATTTCTCTCAAAAGCGTGGCTTCCTCTTTCAAAGTCCCACGTATTACAGCAGCGGGCCCTAACCTTTTGGGCACCAGGGACCGGTTCCGTGGGGAGACATTTTTCCGTGGACTGGATGCTGTCTGCATCCCACAGATGGAGCTCCGCTTGTTTGTGTGGCCCGGTTTTTGGCATGTGGTGGGCCGGTGGTGGTCCACCGACCGGGGATTGGGGACCCCCTGTATTACAGTCATTTTTTTCTTGCACCTCAATCACACCCAGATATATTCTCATCATCTGCAATAAGCCTAGACTGTCTGTGAACTGGAAGTTGTCTTCCATATCTTTTTTAATTATTATTATTTGTCCATTTACAAATGTTATTAGTTTGTCAGAATATAAAATGCAAAGGAAATGAAATCAACGGGAAACTTGGGGAAGAAAAAGAGAAGAAGAGAAAGTTGCCAGTGTTTGAAGACCCCTGGTTTAGAGCTTGTTTATTTTCCAGCCATTTGCTGCTCCTTATAAACATTACTCTTTTTTCTCCCCCCCCCTTTCCCTGCAGTTCGGAGATGCGGGTTTGCGACTCCTGTCTGAACACCTCACGATGCTTCAAGTGCTCAACTTGTGTGAAACGCCCGTCACCGATGCTGGTCTCTTGGCCCTGAGCTGTAAGTGAAGAATCTAACTACTATGGTTTGTAAAGCACGTGTTAACTACTTTTCCTGTTTTATGAACTCCGCAAAATAAGAGATTTTCCTATCAAGGACCAGCTGATTTTTGGCATCTCCAAATTCATTAAAAAAAACCAACAACACCAAGATTCTATACCGTGTGTTTGAGAGTCCATTCCAACTTGATAGCACCCAATCAAGGAAAATGTAAAATGTTGGATCAGCTTTCTGCTCTTAATTTTGGGGACAGGCTGATCCAAAATGAAGGGGTTGGGTGCTTTTTAAAGTCCAGATGTTGATCTGTGGGACGTGAGTTACCAGGCCTCAACCGTTTCCCGTTTTTTATGCCATCCTTTGCAAACTGTATACTGACCAATATCCTTATGTGTTTATTTCCTAGCCATGAAAAGCCTCTGTAGTTTAAACATGAACAGCACCAAGCTCTCAGCAGACACCTACGAAGACCTCAAGGTATGTTACGTTTCTAAAGCATCCTTCAATGTGTTGAGGGCCAGAGTTTTTGACCAGTGTCAGGAGGATAAGTTACTAGCTTGCAGAAATTAATGTATACCGTATATTCATTGCTGTTCTACAGAGGATTTATTGAGTCTGTCATTTGTACCTGTCTGGTTTGGCACAGTAACCAAACAAGACAGGCACATATTTCAACGGGTAGATAGAACCGCAGAAAAAACAATTCTATTCCTCCAAATTGCAGTTGTGAGAAATTAAACTTCCCAACTTTTACTTACCAAGCATGTTTTCCACCGTCAATGCTCATGTGTCTTTCTGCTTTTACAAGTTAATTATGTCACAAGCAGAATAATACAGGGAGCCCTTGACTCACAACCACAATTGAGCTCCAAATTTTAAAGCAGGGGTCTTCTAACTTGGCCCTTTTATGACTTGTGGGCGCCTGGCTGAGGAATTCTGGGAGTTGAAGTCCACAAGTCATAAAAGGGCCAAGTTGGAAGACCCCTGCTTTAAAGAGTTTAAAGTGAAACAGAATAGATT